TCTAGATAGTATATGACGTCCCCACTGTACTTAATAATTTCTCCTAATAAAGAGTGGTACTCTTCAAATTTATAAATGCATGCAAATTACAAAGATTATGGCAATATATAATTAATCAGAATTAAATTAATTTTTTAATTAGCTTATCTAGTCAGCTTTTCTAGATTGAATTTATGTTTAGACAATTAATATTCAAGAAATTTAAATTATTATGTAAAAATATATCAAAACATCTAATAGTTTTTGATGTAATTATTCAGTATAAAAGATAAAAAAAGTTAAATTAACTAGTAAAAAATTTAAAAGTTTGTATTTTTTTAAATTTCTTTTTTATATTTTATTATTTCATCTTTCATAATATTTATCACTTTGGGTAATTATTGGGATCGGTCTAATTCAAAATTGTTCTAACTCGAATTCAATCAATTTGAACTCGACCCGTTTAATTAATAGAACAAAAATATCAAACCAAATTTATTCCGCTAGCAACCTAAATGAACTGAATCTGACGAGCTAGTAACCCAAATAATTTGAACTTGACCCGTTAATCTATTTTAATTAATTTTTTATAACCTATTAACTATAAAGTTTTTGATGTTTTATAAAAATAAAAAAAAATTATACTCATCAGTAAAAAAAATTAAGAAAAAAAATATCAAACCAATTATTTCAAATAAAAAATGAGTTAAATCAAGCATATTTAATAAACGAGTCAAAAAATTTAATTTGAATTCAATCATTTTATTAATCATATTAATACAAATCTAAATTTTTTGAGTAGGATTAAGAGATTACTTATCAAAAAATTATAATGTGCAGTCAATAACAGTATCCGGAGATGACTTACTCTCTTAGACATGTTTTATTTATTTATTATTATTTTTTTGAAATTAAAAGGATTTTGTTGTTATTTATTGACGTACATAGACATTAATGCCTTTGGCGCTCAACCTCTCCTCGCTCTGCTGCTTTAGTTTCAACCACTACTGAGGGTCAGGGGCTAAGTAGAACAATAAGTCTTAGCAAGTCTACGACCCCTTTGTTGAATCGCAGGAAGGAGAAGAAGAACCGGAGATGGCAGAGAACGGGATGAAGGCGTTGGAGGAGAAGCATCACCGGAAGGCATTCGGCTTGGCTGCCAAAGATACTTCTGGCATCCTTTCCCCATTCATTTTCTCCCGAAGGTTTTTTCTCCCCTCTTCTCTCGATCTCCCGTGCTATGAAAGCTGATGGTTTTTAATATTTTTGTTGTTGTTGGGAAATTTGTGCACCGAAGCTGAAATCTTAAAATTCTGACAATAATTTTTTAAATTTGTACCGACAAAATCTCAAATTGGCCGGCACCCACACTGAATTTTATACTTTCTTGTTTGCTTCCGGTCAAATTGGCAGCATCTGAACGTGGCTTAAATGATTGAAAGCCTAACGAGCTGTTGGGTATCCTATTTTAGCCCAGAATTAGCAAGACTTGCTTGAATACTGCCTAATACTTTTTATTGGAGATTTAAATCTTACTTTTTTTTAATAAAGAAATTTTCATCACTGTTATTGGTTAAATTCCCAGCGGTTTTCAGGTTTTAATATTCTCAAAGTTTACTAAATCTGATTTTACAGTATTTACTGATCCCAAATTTATCATAACATAAATCTTGTTAACATCATGTATACATTACATATAAATGTTTATTCTTTGTATGAGATTCAGCTTTCTTTGGCTTTATAGTTTTGATCCAATGCATGCAACTTGAAATGTTCTCTTTTACAGCAATGAGATAAGGAAGTCTGGAAACTAACAATGGAGTTTTTGTTCTCATGTGTTAGGGCAAATGGGGACAACGATGTTACCATAAAGATACTATACTGCGGTATTTGTCACTCGGATCTTCACAGCGCCAAAAATGACTGGAAAGGAACTGTCTACCCACTTGTTCCAGGGTAAACTTTTTCAACTTTTTTTATCAAACTGAATGATTACTTGACAGAAATGCAACTCACCCCGACCTCCATCTATGTTCTTCCACACTAGACAGTCTAGTATTTGTAATTTCAGTTAACTTTCCTTACTACGTACATAGATCCTTAGAGCTTGAATCCCCAAAGTGAAAACATTTATCATCAAACCATTTGTGATTTGTGAATTGTTTAGATGCGGATGTCAGACTTCCTTTTATTATTATTATTTTTTTTTGGAGAAGAGGCGTTTTCTGAATTAATTATGATTTTTTTTTTAAACATTTCCTTACAATTAATTTGTTGCGAGTAGCATCTTTACTTCATTGTAGTATGCAGCTTTTATTGGTCTGTTTGGTTGGGGGCTTCTGCTATGAACTAAGAGGTCTTGAGTTCTTGAGTCTTGCATATGTGATGGGTTTATGAGTTTGACTTAGGCTTCATTTGGGACGACTTTCTTATTGCTTCTTAAAGCAATTTTTTAGCATAAAAATTAAAATTTTTATACTAGAAAATTGTTTTGGGAATAAAAAAGAAAGTTGTTCCAAACAAAACCTTAATTTGCTTAAATGTCCCAAAAAAAACCTTATTGCAGCTACTTTTAAGTGATTGAAACTATTTCCTTTCAGTTCGGTGGTACTGTTGCTCCATTTTAGAAAGGAAAACTTAAAAACCTTAAGTTTGGTTCTTGCTTACTCACAATGTTTACCAAGAAAAAGAAAAGAAAAGAAAAGAAAAGAAAAAGTGATGTCTGATATCAAAATTTTAAAATGCGAAAGGCAGATCTTCTCTAGCCATAAATAAGAGGTGTTACAATATGAAGCTATATTCGAAATGGAACTTAAGGACTTAGGGGAGTTTATTGTTGTTTTTTTGTTTTTTTTCATCTAAAAAAAGAAAGATATTTGTGTGCATATTTATTCCTTGTTTTCATAATATCTCCAAAACTAGTGAAAACACCCACTTGTTATTTAAAAAAATTTAGAAATACACTAATCTGTTTCCAAAAATAAAAATAATTAACCATAAATGCTTCCTAAATTTTGTTTTTGAAAAGGAAAAGAAAAAAAAGCACAACCTAACATGCTTTCTAGATTTTAGGGTCTGTTTGGGTAAGCTTTTTTAAAAACAGATGCAATATTTGTATGAGGGATGTGTTTATCTAAAGCAACGTTCTAAAAAGTACTTTCAAAAACAACTTTTTCTCAGTAGAAAACGTTCTGATGTGTAGCATTACTCATCTTTCTTCAAATTCATTAACAAAATTAACAGCTGCAACAAACAAACTGATAATTAATCTTATTAGTTGACTCTTCTTAATAGGATAAATGCACCATTCAGGCTGTAATATAGTTCATCACACTCATTGTATTTCCCCCCTGCAGGCATGAGATTGCTGGTATTGTCATTGAGGCTGGGTGCAATGTTCTCAAGCTCAAAATTGGTGACACAGTGGGGGTTGGATGCTTGGTAGGTGCTTGTCGTTCTTGCGAAAAATGCGTCCAACATAAGGAGAACTACTGCCCCAAGCTGGTATTCGCCTACAACTCGATTGACATTGATGGAAAAATCACCTATGGAGGCTACTCGAACATCATCGTTGTCGACGAGCATTTTGTGGTGAAGTTCCCTAAAAACTTTCCCATAGACCGAGGTGCGCCATTGCTCTGTGCAGGGATAACAGTATACAGTCCCATGAAGAATTTTGAGCTCGACCAGCCTGGAAAGCACATTGGCGTTGTTGGACTTGGAGGACTTGGCCATGTTGCTGTTAAGTTCGGTAAGGCCTTTGGGATGAAGGTCACTGTCATCAGCACATCCCCTTGGAAGAAAGAGGAAGCCATCAAGTCATTGGGTGCAGATGCTTTTGTTGTCAGCAGTGATGCTGAGCAGATAAAGGTCTTAAGAATTTTATAGCATGCTTAGAATGAAGATTTAAATAATATATACAGGTGAAGAAGATTAATGGCCTAATAGAGTTGGTAAGGATAAAGTTGAAGGTAATGCATGCGATATATTCTGATAACATGTTTGGTTCAAAGAGCGAGGAAGTTGATTCTTATTGGTTTTAATTGAGTTAATCCTAGTCCAGAGGGTGGATTTCAATTAAGGTTAATTAGTCCAATTGTCAAATTGAGCCTGGTAATGAGATTTTAATATAGAATTAAGGTAAAGTAAGGGGCTGCTGGGTAGCATGATTTGGGCCGGATTTGAGCGAAATCAAGCCAAACAGCCTAAAATGTAAAACCAAATCTCATGGCAAATGAAAGCCGCTGTAGATGGAAAATTTCTCCTTTTTGTTCTAAATCTCGGATTTCCAAAATACTGTTTTTTGCCGGATCTATGAAATCCATTGGCTCCAGAGGAAGAGTCCACTCGTTAAATCCGCTCTATAGCCAAACAGTCGTACGGGATTTAGTAGGATTTATTATGAATGTTACCAAATAGTTTTCAGGATTTAGTCTCCTCAGGATTTCCAAAACCGGGATTTAGAGGATTTACAAAATCCTACTTAAATCAAATCCTGGGTGCCACCAAACAGCCCCTAAGAATGATAGAATAAGAAATGAATACGAATTGGAGAGGCAGTGAAAATAAAACTCTTTAGATAAGATAATATATATATAGGCTTAAATTTGGGTATTTAGAATAGAAGATTGAAGATGCACCGCTGAGATTTGTAGATAAAGTTAACTACTCAAAAAAACATTCAATAGGAATGAACTGGAAAAGAAGATTCATAAAATGGATTCCAAATATTTTGTTGGGATAAGAGATGATGATTATAATGTTCAAAAAGAACCTTTAGTAGTATCATACCACCTAATACCAACTACAAAGTTATACTTGAACCATATAGCCCATTAGTTAAACTTTGTAATCCCTCATTTCATCTACAAATTTGGTTAATACAGGCTGCACAGGGTACTATGGATGGAATCATCAACACAGTATCAGCCAAACATGCACTATTGCCACTGATACTTTTGTTGAAATCTGAGGGGAAAATGATCATGGTTGGGGCGCCTGAGCACCCACTTGACTTACCAGCTCTTCCTCTGCTCTTAGGTCTGTATATTCTTTAACATTTTAGTTACATTATTTGATATAGTAAGACTTGTTGCAGTAATCAGTAATTGAATACAGAAGGGAAGATCTTGGCTGGAAGCTGCATTGGTGGAATGAGGGCTACTCAGGAAATGCTAGATTTCGCTGGGGATCACAACATAGCTGCTGATATCGAGCTCATCAGCACTGACTATGTGAACCAGGCCATGGAGAGGCTTGCCAAGGGTGATGTTAGATACAGATTTGTGATTGATGTCGGTAATACCTTAGCTGAAGCTTAAGAAATTATGGTTTGCGCTTGGGTGGTGAGTAGAATTACCATATCTCTGTCAGCTTTGTCACCTTTTTTTATGGTTCTGGTTTCTACAATATGGAGCTATGAAAATAAGATTGTCTTGTGGTTGATGGAATTATTGTATGTTCTGAAACTTCGGACATAGTTACAGTTACTTTCTGCTTTTACATGTCTTGGTGTTATTGGTGCAAGATTTGATCATATAACACGAGGGAAGATATATGCATGCAAGTGTTTAGCTTCATTTTAGATTTAGATAACATTAATGGTATTGACTTTTTTGATATGCTTGTTGAATGAGGATCAAGCTTATTCTTGATCCCTCCGCCAAATACGCCCAAAATGAGGTAAAATCGGTGAATCAAGTGATGTGTGTGTCGGTGTGGCGTTTCACTTGAAGGGTTAAACGACATTGAATTGTAAAACAGACTATGACGTTACAATCATGACATCGAAATTCACCTAAATGGGAACTCCTCACGAACAAATCAGATGAAATTGGTCAAAAGGGACAACCAACACCTGAAATTGACGCATGACGTTGCCCAAACGACGTCCAATCGCGAAACAGACTGCGCCGTTGCGCTCGAAGCAAAGTCAAGACCAAGAATGGCCATAAGTTTGTTCAATTAAAATTGCACAGGGAAATCAGTGCGAACTTCAAGGCAACGATGCGTAAATCGAAGAAATTGACATGTGACGTTGCCCAAACGACGTAATCGTGAAATAAATTATGTCGTCACATTTGGAATGTCGATAATACCCAAGATCAACTATAATCTTGCCCAACAGAATTCATCCAACAAAATTGATGCAAATCCTGAGTCAACAACACGTAATTTGAGAAAAAGCGTGTGGATCTAGTCAATTTTGACTAATTGACTTAATTCTATCGGTTCTATCACTTCATAATTTAATAATAATAAAAAAATATATTATTATTTTAATTAGTTAAAAAAATATAAATTAATGAACTCACCTTGTATCCCGTCGAAGAAATTCTTGAAATCCCGTAGATCTGCATCTCCTCCACTGAATCCAGCAATGGCAACCTCGAGCGTCGAAGCCTCAATTGGTTCTTCTTTTGTTCTTTCATGCACGAAGAGCTCTTGAAAGCAAGCACATCGTTCGTAATCTCTTCGAGGAAAATCGTGCATTTTCTAAATAACAATTGTCTACATCATCAAACATATTTGCACATAGCAGAAATACCCCTTGTGTATTGAAATACACATTGATACTCTCGCATCATGCATGTACATGTTGCAAAGTATAAAGCACATCCGATATACGCATATTATGACATATGAATGCATCATGCAAGCACTAAATCACATGTATATGTGCTATGAGAGCATTGTATTATTATGGAAATATGTTGTGCATATGAATAGTCTACTGCTGCATCAAACTAACATGCGACATGTAAAAAAAAAAAAAACATGCGACATGTCAAATATCAAGCAATATACAAATGCATGCGTTATCATATGCATATGCGTGACATACATTGTGTAAGTGTATCGTTCAAAAAATGCAAAATGTATCATATTGTGATGGTGTGTTGCCTCAACATAGTCATACTATGCACACATGTGTCACATAAAATAAACATGTCATGCATGCATATTAACAGACATACAAAACACATCGTGTTGCAGTACCATGCCACGTTGGCATGCAAATGCTTCATGCACTGCATAAAAACACTGACTCGGTGTGCAAATATATCATGCAAGAAAATAGATAGTGCATAGACACATCATACATGCATGTCATATGTCAGTATATTAAGTCGTTGCGCAACATACAAAACATCATGAAAGCACTACCAAACAATATGCAAATGCAAAACGCATCATACATGCATATCATGCAGATATGTTGCACACAGATTATTACATTATGTACAAATAATTGCCACGTAAATGCACTGTACAAATCTCATGCAATGTCATATATTTGCATGGGCCCCGGCGAGCGTGTTGTGTTCAGAGACATGACGCTTGAGGATGCTACGCTGATCAAGAAATAGACCCAAGTTCGAGCCCGATCACCCTACATAAATAAATATGAGTTGACATGATTCAAACTATTAAATAAATATACGGTCATGACGCCGACCAGAATACTCATTTTATATACTCATATTAGGCCTTGAAGGCCCTCAACAAGAAAAATTCATTGAAAAAGGCATAAAGCTGACAACGAATTTCATCCTTCGTCGGCAAGTGAACAGAGGCAACAAAGTTCAACCAATAAAGTAAAAAAATTGCCCATAAATACTTCGATGATGGCCGTGTTGATAGAAAATCTCAACCATAGGGGATCCAAGCATGCAAATGCCCATAAAATATAAAACTAAAAAAAAATCATCAAAATCTAAAATATTTTGAATTGAAATAAATCATTAAACACTTAAAGCAAAATTCATTCGCCATTTGTAGCATTTTTCCAAGTGGACAATTCTGAAAATGACTTTAGCTCACAAAGAGCTAATGTTTGACTTCAGTTCACAAATAGCTAATGTTTGACCAAGAATATTACTATGATTCATTCCTCAAATAATCTCCTATCAGTAAGGACGTGACACACGTCCTCTAACCGATTGGTTCACTACCAAATGACACCATAAGTAAACGGTTATGACCGGGACCCTCTAAACCATGTGGTCTTGTTGCTAAACGGCACCACTAAATTATGTTCATGGTCAGAGCCCGCGTGTTCCCTAATGACTTCAAATCATTGATATATGAATCAATAAGATATAATCGATATGGCACAAAACTCTCTGTTAGCTAATGTGGATTCCGACCCCTTAGATAAATATTCATCACAGATCTACAAGGTACCCTTGGATGAAGCAACCCATGACTGTTGACAAGGATCCTTCTGTCAGGTTGGGTCGACTACCTCATTTGACTAAGTAGACTAGGGACAACAATGATCCGAGATGACGAAATCATGCGATCTCGATCGGGTTTATCATCATTCCCCCATCATCCGCTTTAAGTGCAAGGTGGTAAAATTTCAAATTTAAATATAAAATCTTAAATGCCAAAACCATGCTGCTACTATATGTAAGATACCACGTATCTCTACATATTTATTTGACAACTAGCCTCCATCGAAAGTTCTCTCCCGTTACCGGTAGGGGTAATTAACTATAATGGCTTGCGCCTATAGGAAGCATGAACTCATACCATAAAGTCCTCGCAAAATGAGGATGAAATTTCTAGGTAGTGATTTATCTACAAACCCAATATGCCTTCTGAAAATTTACCTTGGAGCATAAGCATTTACAACTCTCCTCGACGATTCGAACAAGAAAAAAAGAGGTCATCGGAGAGGCCGAGGCGCAAATTTTCGGAGTCCACACTTATCAGCTTTAAAAGTTATTTCTTGGTGGAGAAATTATTTTGTACGGAGTCCGGATGTAATTTATGTTCAGACTCCAATCAACACAAGCCACGTCGTTTGTACACAGTCTGTGTCTGTGTACAACCTTGTACACGGGTGTGTACAATACTCATCATGTGTATGGGAGACATGACCAATTTTAATTAGTAGTCCGAATACATCCAAATTCCTCACAGAATAATTTCTTTTTTTGGTGTAGGAAAGCTTGACACACCATGAACAAAAAAGGTGTAAGAGAAGAATCCTTTCTCTCTGAATAAATAAATTAAGAATGAAATTCTCAGCTGGTGTTGGTAAAGTTTTTAATAGAATTCTGATATTAAATTATATGTGAAAAATTTTTGGGCACTTAAAAGATAAAATTGAATCCTCGTAGCTCATGTTAGGCACATATTCATAAAGAATATATTTTGAGTACTATTAAGATGTTTAAATAAAAATATGGGGATTGATACAAAAACAAATTATTACATACTGAAATAATATAATAGGGTGATGTCATTTTTTTAAGGGATTATTTTATTTGTTGAGAAAGAGTGTGAATTATTTTAAATATAAAATATTTAAAAAATTTTAACTTTGGTTTATTAATAAAAAAGGTATACATAGTAAAAATTTGATATATATATTTTTTTCATTTCAAAATTCATTTTTGATCTAAAAATTTGATATATATATTTTTTCATTTCAAAATTCATTTTTGATCTATTGAAATTTTGCCCATTTTTTATTTTTTTTTTTCATTTCAAAATTTATTTTTGATCAAGTCATTACAAAAAAAGCATCTTCATTTATTTTATATTAATGCAATTAACTTCAAATATTTTAAATACATTCTATTTTTGTATGAGCTATTTTATATAAGTAAAATATGCATAAATTATTCTTTTTACAATGGTTTTGATAATCTTTTGTTTGATTGGAAGAAAAATAAATGTAATATAAAATTTTCTTCTTGTAATACAAATATTTCTACTACAGGTGAGAAGAGAAAGGGCATTTGATCGTTAGATATTTAATTGTTAAGTGCATAACTAGGAGAAGGCAACATGGTTGATCATGTTGCAAGCAAATTGGACCACTCCAAAGTTTCTAGTATCGGGTCATTTAATATATCAATGCAATGAGATTTTTTTTTTGATGATGAGGAATCATCCGCTGCCACTCACAGGCAAGCCGTGAGCGTTTGACGATACGTATACCCTGGTCAGCCTAGACGAGCTACCCACACCCATTAGAGCTCGTGGACAATACTTATTGGGCCCCTCTGATAGGGGCTATGCCGCCCGAGGGAATCGAACATGGGATGGGGGTATCCAACCGTGCTCGCCCACCAACCAAGCTAAGCATTGGTGGGTACCCAAACCCATGATATGAGACACAGATACTCGATATTGGTATGTTACATAGTTTCCTTATTAGGAAGTGATTATATCAAGTAAATATGATTTAATATCCTCATAATTGAGGGTATTAAATAATTCATTTATTTTCTATTTGTATCCACTTGTCTGCCCATTTATAAATCTAACATATTCAGTCAATATCTTTGAAATTCCTTTCCTCTCAATATGTATAATTATACTTATAAATTTCTTATATATTTATTATCTTACTAAGTTTGGTAATATTTTAACCCACCAATTTTGTCTTCCAATATCCAAGCTCAAAGAAGATCGGTGAAAGTGTTTATGTTAGTATGATGACAGATGTTCCTTCCACAACCATCCTTCCTCATTGGAGAAATTGTTCTGTGAGAACACTGGATGGCCCGAAGGCCAATGAAAACGCATAATGTCACCCGGTATCCAACGATACCCAGCATCGATACCGAGCAAAAAAGTGACGTGACATTTTATGGTTTGCCTCCAGACGACGTCCAGTGTCCGCACAAAATAATTTCTCTCATTGACATTTTTAGATAGGTCATCCACCTCCATCAAACTTAAGATTTTTTTTTATTTGCTCTCATATTTGACTATCATCTCCATGAGGTGAGTAAATTCCATCAATATCCTTTCCATTCTCTACTAGTAGTCGCCCTCCTTGTCCTTTTGAGTTAATTAACTAGAACATTGGTCCTCATTTATTTGGGTTTTTGCTATTTTATCAAATTCATTGTCTATTCCCAGTTTATTTGGGTTTACTTACTCAAATATTTCTCAATGGCCTTTTGGTATATTATAAATATTTCATAAAAAAAAGACTTCTTTATTAAATAAAATATATTATTAAATGCATAAATCACCACCTCTTTTGAGGTGGAAATAAACCATGTAACAAATACAAACAAGAAAAAATAGAAATGAAGTGGAAAGTAAAGAAAAATAGGATTTAACGTGAAAAAAATCGAAACCAAGAAAAAAATATGGAGGCACACACCAAAAAATCCACCATAAAAATATGGGAGCATTAATCCAGATCTCTCTTCTCTCTCACTTCTTGCTCCATTTCTCTCTTGCATCGTTCTTACACAAGAACAAACAAAGAAATACAATAATTTTTTTAATACTATAATTACAATAATTATAAAGAAATACAATACATACCACCAAAAGATACCACCTTTAAGAAAAACGAGAAAGTAAATTGTTCAACCAACCTCGCAGCGCTACGATGCCAGTTTGAAGAGCCGCAGCGCTCTACGCACAACCTTCAATTTGCTTGACAACACTGTAGCGCCAGATCTTGAATGCTGCATTGTTATGCTATCTTTTCTTCAAGCGAACTATGTAGTGCCGAGGTGCTCGAATATCCCGAGCCGATTTTATCTTAAAGGTTTTTTTCATTTTTACAAGCTTATCAAACTTTTTATAGAGAACCCATAATTAAGGTAGTCATGTACACTGCATCTCAAAAAAGATTGCATACTTGAATAAATAACTAAATGTTTATTTATATACAAATTGGTTTAGAGATGATGGGCGCACTTTCAGAAACAACAAGAAAAAACAAAATAATGCATGCAACAAAAGTTGCCTGACCTTAAACTTCCACTGATGGTCTTTGTGCCATTAATATAAAACATTTTGCTCCAGGAATTGCAGGAGAGCCAAACCAGCAGCCCAAATATCATCATCTAATACATGTTCAGCAGGGGAATGGCTAACCCCTCCGCGGCACCGCACGAAAAGCATGCCAACCTGATTGAATAAAAACACTATAAGATAATATGTAGAAGATGACTTCAACAAAGCTATGGAGCTACAGAGTATAAGGCATCGTTTGGGACGGCTTTCTTACTGCTTCTTAAAACAGCTTTCTATATAAATTTTTTAATTTTTGTGCTTTAAGAAGCAGCAAGAAAGTCGTCCCAAACAAAGCCTAAGATGTCCACCTTAGTTAAATGAGATATGGCCATTGCATCATGACCTGCACCGCTCATTAGTGCAGGCACATCTTCCCGAATGCTCCATGGGGTTTTGCTAACAGTGGAATGAACTGCTTGTTGTAGCTGCAGACTTAGTTCTTTGTCACAGTATGCTGCTTTCGCATTGTGCTGAGAAAATTAACTTTAGTAGCCATATTAGGATAGAAATGAAATGAAGCTCGAGGAAGAAGACAAGGTTACAAACCTTATGCTCAATGGTACAATTTACCCTCCTACTCTGACATTTTTCTTTAACTCTGTGCGAGAATTCAAGTACTATAGCTTCCCTGGTTGTGTCATCCATGGCTCGTATGTCTACAGTAAAATATACCTGAAATTTTTTCTGAAAATGAATAATGGCAGATAATTGTTGTGCGAAAACTACCACAACAAGAACAACAAGTACATAAAGCCTTTGTCCCACTACGTGGAGTCGGTTACATGAATTATTTTTCTCCATTGTATCATGTTAAAAGTCAAATTCTCGTTTAAATCTAATAAAGAAAGATCATTTCTAATATTTTATAACCAAGTCTTTTTAGGTCTGCCTAAACCATTCTTAACATAAGTCATATCTAATACCTCTACTTTTCTAACCGAGTCATCGGGAGGCTGCCTGATGCGGACATCAGCACCAAAATCTGGCGCATCTATCACAGGAGGCGTTGTAAATCGACGGCTCTGATTTAAGTTATCATTTATGAATTATTTTCTACATTTTAATTTCTATTTTATGTTATTTCATATTTTACCCTTAGGTTAATTTATTTGAGTGTTGTGGCCCAAGGGGCAATTTTGTAATTTTTTATTTTCTAATGTTGTGGCCTATATATTGGGCCTTTAGCTATTGTAATAAGATGGTTAATGGATATGAAAATTTTGTGTTTTCCACACTTGTGTTCTTCTTGAGAGAGGACGAGAGTGAGATTTCTATGAGAGAAATCGAGAGTTTCACCAACCACAGGATGGGTCCGGGCTCGTGAATTGAGATCCCTTGGAGAGGGAAATTGTATCACCCACCAACCTTGGAGACGGCCGGGTTCGTGGTTTTATTCTTTTCGTTATCTCTTCATTTTCTCCTTGTCGACATCCCCATCCTCCCCCAAGCCACCGGCCA